CCTAACAAGAATTGCTATACTGAGACCTATTGTCCCTAAATGGTGCTGCTGACTCCTATTGCCATAAAAATTTGGAAAGGTAGTAGGCACTCATAATGAAGGACCCATAGCCCCTCAGCATAGCTTGGCTTCCCTGATCTTCACAGCTCAATTTCCTACACCAGTGGATCCTTTACTCCCCTTTGAACAAATGTCACTGTTCCATTTGTCTTACCAACCTCCTCACTTTTTTAAGCTCTTTTTTTTAAAATAGTGTATATTAATTGTAAGAGGTGGGAGATTTCTTTGGAAGATATCTGCGCATGCCTGTAATACATCAATAAATTATACCATTAATTACATCAGGTCCTTCATAATCTAATCATCTCTAGAAATGCCTTCAAAGATACTCCAGAGTGTGTTTTGTCAATTCCCTGCATGTTTCTCAATTCAATCACATTGGCAGTGAAGATCAGGCATTATAAGTCTACCTCACTTCAACCTGACATCCTAAGTTGTGTCCTTAAACCATTACATTAAATATTGATGTCCCTTTTATTTGTACAGAAGTCCCTTTGCTGTGATGGCACCTAGGAAGTCCTAGCAGGCAGGATTTTTTTCTTTTTGCATTTTAAAGGTGATGTAGAAAGGGTTTATACTCAAATAATGAGTGCATTTCTTTTTGAACAGTGTCACCTCCTCTATTTTCTCCCAGTTTTTCCTCCCAGGTCCCTTTGTCCCACAAGTTGTATAGTTCATTTCTCTTTCTCTCTTTCTCTCTTTCTTTCTCTCTCTCTCTCTTTCTTTCTTTCTTTCTCTCTCTCTTTCTCTTTCTTTCTTTCTTTCTTTCTCTCTCTCTTTCTCTCTTTCTTTCTTTTTTTCTTTCTTTTTCTTTTTTTCTTTCTTTTGTTGGTTGTGGGGCTTGAACTCTGGGCCTGGGCTTTATCCCTCAGCTCTTCAGCTCAAGGCTAGCACTCTACTACTTGAGCTACAGTGCCACTTCCAGCTTTCTGGTGATTTCATTGGAGATAAGAGTCTCAGGTAATTTCATGCCTGGGCTGGCTGTGAACTGCAATCAGCCTCCTGAGTAGTTAGGATTACAAGCATAAACCACCATCACCCAGCTGTATAGTTCATTTTCTACATAGGGTCTAGTGAATATCACTGCTGAATTAGCTTCCCCTTCCCCTCTCCAAATCAGGTAAACTTACATACAAGACAAAAGATATAGAAATTTTAAAAAACAGAGAGAAAAGGAGAAAAATAGAAAAAGAAGAAGAAAAAGAAAAGACCTATAGACAGTACAATTTAAAAAAACCTCTTGTTTCCATTTCTTGGAGTTCATTTCAATAAGCATCATTGTATATGATCATATGCATATAGCTATTGAGCCCTTGTGATCCTCTCCTAAAAATATCCTCCTTTAGTCTCATTGTGTGAATGTTTAGAATCCCATTTAATTTATCATGTCCAAGTGGACATTTTTTACTTTCACTATCCATTGGGTTTACTTGTGGACTTACAGGAACTTTCTAATTATTACAAATGAAGGAAAACATGCAACCTACATTTATTTGGATCTGGATTAATTTGCTTAATATAATTTTTCCAAATCTTTCCATTTCCTTACAAGTGGGCCAATGCCATTCTTTCTGATGGAAGCAGAGAATTCCATTGTTTATACATACCACATTTCCTTGATCCATTTGTCCACTGAGTGGCTTCTAGGTTGATTCCATATATTAGCTACAGTAACAATGCTGCAATGAACATGGTTGTGCTGTTGGCTTTAGTGTGGCCTGGTTTGCGGTCAGTTGGGTAAATGCCCAGGAGTGGGATTGCTAGGCCATAGAGGACCTCTATATTTAATCTTTTAAGGAACCTCCATAGTACTTTCCAGAGTGGTTGAACAAGTTTATATTCCCAGCAGCCATGTGTTCCCTTTGGGCCATATCTCTACCAGCATCTGTTATTATTAGTTTTCTTGATAATGGCCATTCAAACTAGGATTAGGTGGAATATCAATGTTGTCTTGATTTGCTTTTCATTTATGGTCAAAGATGTGGAACATCTCTTCATGTGTCTATTGGCCATTCTTACCTTCATCTGAGAAGTCTCTCTTTAAGTTTTTAGCCCATGTATTAATTAGGTTGTTATTCCTTTGAGAATTTGTTTTGGGGGGATTCAATTTTTTAAGCTCTAAATGTATTTTAGGTATGAGACCCTTGTCTGAGTAGCAGGACTTTTGCAAGCTCCAGTCCAACCACTATTTATCAATTAGAAAGAGGGAGAATTTTCCCTCCCCATTCCACTGAGGAGCCACTTGACATTGTCTGTAACCATTTATTTTGTCACAGTTGTGAGGCTTTCTCCAGCACCCAGTGAGTAGAGACCACAGGTGATGCTGAACATCTTAACTTTTGATAGGACAAACTCACAGCAAATAGAAATTTCCAATCTCCAAATTTGATCATGTTAAGGTTTAGAAAGCATGCTGTAGATGTACTGGGCTTTTTATTTGAACACTAAAGATATACTAAATAAATGTGTCAGGATAAAGTAATTACTGTTATCCTCACTTTCCTGACCAACTCAATGCTATGTCATTTATGGTGGGTACTAAACTAATAATGCAGTAACTAAAATATAGCAATATTTTTCCTCCTGGCACTCTACAGATATCTGGGTCTTCCTGAGAGCAATATGACATCTCACCTTTCTCCAATACTTCAAGGATATGGAAAGTGTGCTATTTCTTTCCAGGGGAAAAAGTCTTTCCATGAACAGAACTTTCCTTAGATTTTGAGTCTTGGTTCTGCATCTTATACATCTTCATCCTAATACCTAATAAAGTGTCTAGCATTACAAGACAACTAATAAACATCAAGAGAAATTTATTTGAGTATTCAGACATAAATATGCATTCCTTGATCATAGCCTCATTTTATGCAACTTGATTAATAAGGGAGAATGAGTCCATAGTTTATTTAATCTGAGATTTAGTTCTACTTTGTATACCTTCAAATATGTCCACATCAGATGAGAGTTCCTCAGAGTCATTTTGTGCAAATATGATACAACTTATCAAAAGTATTTATCCTATAAAATCTATTCACTGCTGTACTTTTTTTGGGGGGGGATCTGGTCATGGAGCCTGAACTCTGGGCCTGGGCGCTGTCCCTCAGCTCTTCAGCTCAAGGCTAGTGCTCTACCACTTGAGCCACAGCACCACTTCTGGCTTTTTTCTTTTTGCTTATGTGGTGCTGAGGAATTGAACCAGGGCCTCATGCATGCAAGGCAAGCCCTCTACCACTGAGCCACCTTCCCAGCCCCTGCTATACTTTTTGTTGGTATTTTTTGCCAGAATGTTGATCTCAATACAGATGAAGAACAAACAAAAAATACCTAATCAGAATAGAAAATTTTCAATGTTCTTGTTAGAGGAGCACAAATGAACCAAAAAGAAATGTGGGATGACAAATTGTATAAAATTGAGAGTCAGCAACATCAATCATTTTGCTGTGAGGCTATGAGTAATTTCATAATCTTGTTCCTGGGACATAATGCATAATAACTTTCAACTTTATTGTAACTCTTTATTGTAACATTGCGTCCAAATGTTCATTTAAACAATATATAGATTCTTTTGATAAATTTCAAGTGGCTTTCTTTCAAAAAGTCTGTGATCATTTGAAGAGTCTAGACTTAGATCAGAAACTCCTAGATTCTTATTTTCATACTACCATTACATTTATGAAGATTTCCTTCCTCCTAGAAATTCCACAGAGCAATAAATGTGTTTCAGTGAATGGCTTTTCTCTCAGTGCATTATTTCAGATGATTCCTGGCAGGATCTATTGGGGCATACCACTTGAGTCTTGGGATTGCCATCTGTTAGTGTACTAGACTGCAGTCTTGCTTTCAGACCTTTTGTCTTTACCAGGGGCAGAGATATTAGAGACAGACATTATTTTCTTTCGTGTTTCTTTTCCTTTCTTTCTCTCCTTTAAAAAATTTGTTTTTCTACTGAAATTCGGTAGGTAAACTGCCTTAGAAGGATCTGATCTATTTTGTGTACAAAATAAAGCTTCATGGGTTTTAAAAATCTGCTGCTTTCAAACTCTAAGGCTGAGTAATTTTTTAACTTCAGCAATTAACTTTAAGAAATTAAATAAACGTATTTAGAGTTTTGAAGCTAAATCATTAAAGCAAAATCATCGGATAATGCATTCGATAATGGCTTATTTAAACCTACCTCCTGAAGTAACTCCCTCTGATGGGTTTTTAATGACAAGCTGGTTTCTTCCCATTTTGATATCTAACCATGGAGTTGCTAAAAGCCTGCTCCCTATTACTGTAGCAAGTAGAGCTATGTATATTCATAATGAGGTCTATTTTAGCAGAAATGACTATTTAATCTTCAAATTGAAAATTGGTCTCAATGCTAGAGACAGAGTTATTTCTAGACTCTTCTAAATAGTTCATCTCCCTGCCTTGTATTTCAGACATTTCAAGAAGTTACACATTCTTGGGAAACTCCTTAGAGTCCTATTTTCCATCCTGCAACAGAAGTTCATTTTTGATTTATTGATCAAAAGACTCCAGAGTTACTACAACTTTAATAGTATCTTTTGTGAGGAAAGAGGAAAATATTTATGCGCTTAAGGGACTCTGTGTGTAAGAATTATGAAAATTGGTTTCTTAAATTTAAAATATGATCATCATAGTTGATTATCAGGCAATGCTAAAATACAATTAACAAATTTCACTAATTATTAAAATAAGATCTCCAAAGGCTTCTATTGAAGTGTAAAGTAGGTGCAATTTACAGACGTTGAATTCCGTAACTTCCATCAGAGGGGAATAAAACTACCCAAATTATTGTACAGCATTCACAGCATGTGGCTAAAAAATACCCAGACATAAAATACTGAAGTGGGAAATGTATTTAGCACTTTCTGTAAATGGATACATGTGATTAAGCCTTGATGTATATTTATTTTATCACCTTTACCTTCCAGATCTACGAAAGACATTTGAGCAAGAGCCCCTGGGAAAGGAAGTGTCATTGGAACAGGAAGTCCTACTGCAGTGCCGACCACCTGAAGGGATCCCAGTGGCTGAGGTAACAAAAATTCTCAGCGTGTAACAGTTGGCACTTAGCTATTCTAACAGAGGCCTAATCCATGGCTAATGGTGCAGTGAACTGGGGCAGGGCTTGATGAATGGTGGGTAACTGCTGCTGCTGGCAATACAGATTGATTGGGGACTGATTAATGACTTGGGAGTCAATTAGAATGGCCCACTGGACAAAGCCACAGACAGCTTGTATTAATTTTGTCATTCATTTTCAAGAAATCAGAAATACTCCGCATCAGAAGAGATGCTGAGACTGACGATGCCAGAAATTTTTATCATTGTTCTTGAAGAGAGGCAAAAAATGTAGAGTAAAACTCTTGTGTGGGTGTTTGTATATATGTGTGTGTATGTGTGCTGTGAGCCTGTGCCCTTTATATATCTATGTCATGCTTTTATCAATAAGAGACATGGATACAAAGATGTAGGCATTAATTTTTTTGTACTGAAATTTACTAGGTAAACTCCCAGTACTTTTGTCTTGGAAGGAACTGATCTGTGTGTGTTCAAAAGAACAATTTTAGGGCTTTAAAAAATTTCCTAAAATCGATGTCCACATGCCATTGATATTTGAATTGTAATGAACATCAATTAATTTCATCCTATAAGTTTTCTGCCAAACATTCCTTTGCATTGTTTCTGCTGAAACAAGCCTAATTCACTATTAGAAGTCTGATTTATACCATGACTTTTCATTATCTCAACACAAGAGACTGCCCTTTGAAAATGCTTGTGGGAAATTTGGACCCACAAGAGATGTTTGATCTCCTGAGAACACTGATCAGATTATTAGAGCATCATCTCAAAGAAAACTAATGCTATGGCTTCTATTTTGTTAATAAATACTCCCAAATTCTGAAACAACATCCTTTTCTCATAATTATTAGGGCATACAGCATAATTACTCTAATTGATCCAAGGTCCTACAGACTCAGTCATGCTTCAATTGAACAAGCCCCTATTTGCCAATCTGTTGATGATTTATGTTTGCCCAACCACATAGGATCATCTGAACAGGGACAGTTGGCAGGTATCACCAGACAGACCTATGTATGGATTTAAAGAATGCAGGTGATTTTTCATAAAGTTGACCCGTAAATTTTTTCCTATCCATGAAACTGAAAAACACTATCAAGACTTCCAACGTTGTCCCAAAAAGTGATTAAACCAGTTGCTGGTGGCTCACACCTAAAATCCTAGCTACTTAGATGGTGAGATCTGAGAATTGTGGTCAGAGCAAGCCAGGGCAGGAAAGTGTATGAGAATCTTATCTCCAGTTAAACACACACACACACACACACACACACACACACACAAAGGTGGAAATAGAGCTATGGCTCAAGTGGTAGAGAATCTAGAATACCAAAGCTCAGGAATAGCACTCAGGCCCAGAGTTCAAGCCTAAGGACTAGTTCCAAAAAAAACAAAACCAAAAGATTGGTAATTAACAATGCCCATATTATTTGATTCTTCATCTTTTTTTTCAGTCTTTTAAAGATTCAAGGGTTGATAGGAATCGGGCCAAGTAGCTAGTTTCACATAACAGAATCCACCTATCTGATTGCTGTTTCCAAGTAAAAACAAATAAATTAATTGAAAATTTGGAGAAAATTGTCCCATTTTTTTTCTGTCAGAGCCATGATTATCCCTGTGAGACAATGTAAAAATTCTATGGAAAGTTAATGAAGCTTACATTTTTATTTAGAAATAACTGGTCTTTATTTTGTAATTGGCATCTTGTGGAACTTTCCAGCATTGTGCCATCAACTACATGATTATAGCTACATCATCCAACAATACATCCTCAGCTTCCAGTATCCAAACCTGGTATGATTTAGTGTGTCTGCAAGCAAAGAAATTGTTCTCTCTTCAATATTTAATTTCCACAATTAAAATAGTGCATCTGTCTCCTTACTAAAATTCTATTGCAAACTTCTTCCATTAATCCACCCTGAAAACCAGAACGTATCTAGTCGGGTAGTAACTGAGGTAGCTCTAGCCTCATTTGTACTTACTATTTCTTAAAGGTAACTTCAGTTGGGAGACTCTGGTATTCTTCATTTCTTTGAGTCTCCTCAACAAAATAGTTCACTTTGTCAGGGAGTAAAGATTTATGACTGAAAACTAATTGGCTATGAATTTTATTTGTATCCTCACTGAAGAAGAGACCAATTAATGCTTGGCAAGCTCGAAAATTATATATCCATTTGACATTCAAAGCACTATATTTAATGCATATTCCTTTTCCTTTTTCAAAAGTCAGAAAAGAGATCAAACACACATGCTCAAAAGCAGTCTAATACACTCCTGTGTAGATTCATTTCAATGCTATTAAAGTGACCGAGAGTAGAAAGTTAATGAACACCTTAACATGACACCTGACAACTGCTATTTTCTCAAACAGTGCATTTAAATTTAAACAGATGGAAATGAAAGGTAACTTGGGGAGCTAAAAGATGACATGCTCAGTTTAGTTTAAATACCCATGCATTCATCATTTAATTTCTATTTATTTTTAAGGGACTTTATATACTTTGAAAGTAACATAAAATATTGACCCTTAAAAAAAGGAAGCCAACAGGTAAAAGTCATATACTTTAACATAATTACATTAGATATCTTCTTGTTTGGTATTCAGGGAAAATGACTTTAATAATCAGCAAATGTGCAATGAACAGAGAGCTGAACAACTCATTGATCTTTGTTTTATAATAATATGATACTCTCAGTTAAGAAAGTAGGTGCATTCTCGACAGGATTCAGAGATCAATAATTTTCTTCAATTTTTTCTAAATTGGTAAGTTTTCCAAAAATTTTGATATCACTAATAATAACAATATGTTGATATAAACCATGACATAGGCATTACTGAGATAATACCTGTGAATTTCACTGCTATTTTGGCAGTGAAATTGTGCCATATAACTAATCTCATTTACTCTGGGTAGAATGGAGTTTGAACTCAAGGTTTTCTACTGCAAGACATGTACTTGATCACTTGAATTACACCCACAGTCCGGCTTTGCTTTAGCTATTTTTAAGTAAGTCCTCACATTTTTGCCCAAGCCAACATGGCCTTTGTATGGTTGAGATAGTAGGTGCAAATCAACAATATCCAGTTAGTGATTGAGATAGAGTCTGACATTTTGCCTGGCATAACCTGCAACAATGATCTTCCTAAACTCAGCCTCCTAAATATCTAGGAAACTAGGTATGAGACACTGTGTCCAGCTTAGCTAGTCTCCACTCAGAACTTCAGGCTTACGTCTAAACATGACCATTTTTATTCTGGAACTTTGGGCAACATTTTTAAATCCTTTGAACCTAGGTTTTATCAACTACAGAATGGGGAAAATGGCAGTATCTATGCACAAGGTGGTTGTGAAGTTTAAAAGAAATTATTCTTTAGTATGGTCTTGTTTGTGATCATTCAGGTAAATGCCCAAAAGTGGGGTTGGGGGGTCATAGGGGCTCTTTTGAGGAACCTCCATATTACTTTCCAAATTGGTTGAACAAGTTTACACTCCCACCAACAATGCAGTAAGGTTCCCTTCTATCTACATCCCCTCCAGCATCTGTTGTCATTAGAGTTCTTGATTTTAGCCATTCTAACTGGGGTGGGGTGGTATCTAAGTGTTGTTTTGATTTGCATTTCTTCTATGACTAGAGAGGTTGAGCATTTCTTCATGTGTCTATTGGCCATCCTTCTTTCCTCTTCAGAGAAGTTTCTCTGTAAGTCTTTAGCCCACTTATATATCAGGCAGTTGTTTCTTTGTGGATTTGTTTTTGGGGGATTTCATTTTTTGAGTTCCAGGTATATTTTAGATATGAGACCCTTGCCTGTTTTAAGGACTGAAATCGTTTTTTTTTTCTTGCTATTGTTTCTAACGTATTTATAAGGTGATTTCTTTGTTGCTTTGTATGTCCCTCCCCCATGGTATAACCCCTGTTTTCACTGTATTTGATGCTGGTATAATTTGTGGAGGGGAAGGGAAAAAATGAATTGTTTTAATAGGGACAGGTGGACCCATTGCAAAAATGAGATGTACAAGGGGCTGGGAAGGTGGCTCAGTGATAGAGTGCTTGCCTTGCATGCATGAGGCCCTGGGTTTGATTCCTCAGCACCACATAAGCAGGAAAAAAAAAAGCTGGAAGTGGCGCTGTGGCTCAAGTGGTAGAGTGCTAGCCTTGAGCTGAAGGGCTGAGGGACAGCACCAGGCCCAGAATTCAGGCCCCACAACTGGCAAAAAAAAAAAATGAGATGTACAAGATGTGTTGAAAAACGAACTTTACAACTTTGGCAGGCGAGGGGGGGGGGCGGGGATGGGAAGGGGAAACAAAGGAGGAGGCAACAATGCTTGATAAGAGGTGTACTCATTACCTTGCCCATGTAATTGTAACACCTCTGTATGGTATTTTCACAATAAAAAACTTATTAATTTTTAAAAAATGATGTATGCTGACAATTTAGAATATTTCTAATGCCACCAAAATCATCCATAGTGTATACTATTATCATATGATCATATAGGAATTCCCTAAAGACTGGATTCCACCTCACTGAAAACATTGTCTCATTTTGCTCCCTGGGATTTATGACAAAGTAATTGGTGTTCAATGAAGAATCATTGAGCAGGGCTAGAGGCATGACTCAAGTGATGCATTGGATGTGGGAGGCTCTAGGTTCAATGTTCAGTACTCCCAAAAACCCCTCATTTTTTAACTGTATAGTTCCTGTATTTTTCTAGCCACTTGCTTTGTTTGTAGCCATGAATGCTACTGAGAAAGATAGCATTGTGATATTGTGAGCTTCAAGGCAAGGAAATGCCCTTTCGTCAATGACTCGTGGATGACCATGTCCACAGCAAACCAGAACGTGCTGTTGTCCTTCATGTGTGATATTCCACTTCATTTCATTCATGGGATCCTCATGGTCCTAAGATAAGTGGACCAGCCTTTAAACTTTCTCCCGGAAAGGAAATGTCGGCA